CCTGGTTTAGCGCAGTGGAGCAAGGGTTAGAGTGACAAAAGAGGCGCTACAAGCGTTGTCGTTTGCGCCACGACATAGCTTGCAAAGCGTCAGGTCATCTAGCTAGGCTTGCTTTGCTAGTTTGAGCGCGATGTCGCGCCGCGGGTTTGATGAACTATAGCCTAGAAATTAGATTTGAAAGTACTGAAATGTATTTTTGTGATGTATCATGTTCTAGGCTCTCTATTAGTTGCCCTTATCTGACCATTTGGCCGATGTTTTACGAATATTCCTAGATTAATTATGCAATTATTACAGGATAGATGGACAAATATGTGATCTCTGAGGAAGAAGAGGTGATAGACGCCGAGCCACCATTTCCTGAATCGATGAAAAAAGATGTTAAAGTGATGGAATTGCACAAGAACACAAAATTCGGAAATATTATCGAGTATGTCAACAAGATGTTTGAGGTGGGTGTATATTTTGATGGAAATTCAAAAATGTTAGTGTTTTGGCGTGGTGTAGGTGTGTCAAGTGACCATTGCGAACTGACATGATTAGGGCGCGAGCTGTCGCGATGCGGTCCGGTCGCTTTTTATCGCCATGCGACAAAAAGGCAGCTCGCATCATTAGCACGTCCGTCCTATCCCACCTTTCTTGAATATGACTACCTTTGACATGATTCTGGCAGTGAGCCGTTGATTGTTGAGCTGAGAATTCATGTATAGTAGGGAGTAGTGTAGGCGGCACTGATGACGTAACGAGAAACTCGTGTTAGTGCCCATATCATCTATTCAATTAGAAACTCATGATCTAGATGTGGTGAATGAATGATGATGCTCTTTTTCCTACTTTTTTGCTTCTCTAATCTTTTTTCCAAAGCTGAACTTTTTCGCTTTTGTTTATACTTAATATCTCGGAGATGGAGTGGGCGTGGTCACGTACTCCATTTGAATATTGTGTAAAAAGGTCGGATCTTTCCATCTTGATTTTACACGACTGCTCATCCTCCGTCTCTATTTGTTGCGGCCAAAAGACATGGCGTTGCATTTTGTCCCACTACGGCAATGTTCGCACTAAAGCCGGCAGCTCGCCATTACTCGGTTGCAAATTTGAAAAGCCACGCCCAATCCATATCCGTGAGCATGGAGTTGTTACTTCATCCTAGCCTCACTGAAATGATTACTTTCAACTTTTACACGCTCTACCATATCCTCTAGCTCACTATTAACGAGGCGACTGCCGTAGTCGACTGCACGCAGTTTGCCGAGCTGCGATTCGCTGAGGGCTGCGGGTTTATACGAACTGGTTGCAACGCGTGATCGCTCTGCCGTCCGTGCGCCCATGTTTCCGCGGTTTTTGCTTGCGCCTCTAGTTCATTCTATAGATCGGCGACTGCCTTATAAGCTTTTCGTTATTAGGACGAAACGTATCCCGGAGTCGAGTGATTTTTCCGGGGGTAGGCGCATGCAGCCGAGAAATGTCGTTTTCAGATTGGCTGGCATGGTATTATAGCGAAAACGGACAGGTAGGTTGGCGATGAAGGCGAGTTTTTCAAACGAAATGAAACGAAAGGTGAGGGCCACCAAAAATGGAGTTTTGCATGTTGTTGCTAAGCAAAGTTTTTTTCTCTCTGAATATGTTTTTTTTCAATTAGACCCATTACCACAACTCACACGCACACATGACCGTTACTCGCTTTGTGGTCACTGTCGGCGCTGATCGGCTTGGGAGGGGCATTTCGCGTTTTCACTAGCTTTTTTTGAGCTGATGCTCGTTAGCCCATGTTAATTGTTAACTCGTGGTGAGAACTGCGAACTCTCGTTATGGTGCGTCAGGTGAGCCACATCGGTCACAGGCATTATTAGGTCTTATAAAGTAGCGTGTTCAAGCTTCACTGAGTACCACTGGGTGCCCCCACCAAGCCTAACTGTGTCCGCTTTTCTTTCGTTTGCATCGGAACATTTGTTTCTATTGGGAATACACCGCATTTTTCCAGGAGGAACTCTACCAGTGGACTGCCCTAAGTACGGCCAAGCGGGTGACATATTGGGATCCACTAGTAGAAGGAATGAACAGGTTAGTTTTATGCCTCTCCGAATAGAATGTCCTTTTTTTCCTCTGGGCCTTAGATTTTCGACATTGTGGGGGTGCTGGCATCTTAAATAGGATAGGCAAGGACCGCTGTGCAACTGCAACGCTCCCAATGACCACGCCCTATCCGTCGCTCTTAGGACTCAGACGCTTTTACTCCGATTCAGGTTAAAAGTCACCCTCGACACTCCAGCAATCTTCATCATGCTTTCACGCGATCCCTATCCAGTTGAACTCCAATGTATGAGGTCAGCGAGTTTTCGCTCTATTTGAAACTTTTATTGATTAGATCAACAAATACACTAAGGACATTGGTTTCAGTATGCAGCAGTCGTCGTGCAAGGGCATAAAAATCCCGCCAAAATCTACGCCCTCATCTTCAGCAAGACGTGGTACTAACAGGAAACAGCAGCAGCGTGGCGGTAGGACAAACAAATGGGCACGTCCAGCTAAAGGAGTGAAAGAGAGCGAGGCCGCGGAAAACCGGGAGATTATAGAGAAACTGGAGAAATTACCGTAATTTTCCCATATTATAAAGTTGTTAAGTGATGTCATAATAGTGACATTGAGGCCCATTTCGCAACAGTCCTAGAGGTTGGATCACTCCTCTGTATACCGTGGGAGTGTCCATAACTGCTGATGATATACTGTTTTCGTAGCTCTAAAGTGCACGGCAAGGACGCCACGGGCGTTTCTTCTGTGAATGTCTCCGCCCGCTTTCCAACGTGGACTTCAACGCGCGAGATTGCTGAATAATGCGGTCTTACTCGACTGACTGCTTTCTCGTCCTTCGTTACCTACTCG